CACACGCACACACGCACTCGCTCTCTCGCTCTCCTATTTCCTGACGGCCTTGGGCAGCGATGACATTCCGGGAATATGATCTGAGAGGTTCAGATGATTTCCTCTGTCCTCATTTTTCAACCCCGGCTCCTGCCCATCGTCACCCCCAGGAATACACTGGTCACAGCACTGTTTAGCCAGGTCCTGAAGGATTAGGGCTTCAAAAGTTACCTATTAAAATGCAAATGTCCTTGGCAGAGCTAAGACCTCTTGTCCTTATCTGCTAACAGCCTAAAGGGATTCCTTTCAGAGAAGGCTGTTTCCATTTTTTAACTGGGCAATTCTGTAAAGAACGTAGAATAAACTGGCCAGCACTACATTTGACTTGAGGGCTGACCGCAAGATGGTTTCTCTGTCCCACAGCAGGCCTGGAAACCACCCCCCAGACCCCCCAGCCCGCTCTGAGAGGGAGCTGCCCTCCGCTACCCCAGCCTCCTGGCCTGACTGTGCAGGCTGCAGACTCGGAGCCAGCTGTGAGCCCGGGGTCCACCGGTGGTGTTTCCAGCTTTTTCCCACAGACGTGCGGGAGGGTCTGTCCCTGCTGCTCTCAAGGCCAAACGCTCCTTACAAAACAAGGACACAGTGAGTCACATTTGCGGCTTTATTATCTGCCAGCCTCTCTCTATCCCTTTAACTACATCAATCACTTAAAACAACAACAACAGGCACTGTCACCAGATCTGTTTTCCTGCCATGGGGCTCAGGCACAGAGACAGCAGGGAACTTACCAGGAGCCACACAGCGTGAGTGATCTGAGCTGAGAATGACAGTCCCCAGCCTGTTCAGGGCAGGGACTTGTAATCAGTGTTACACTTAATCTCTGTGAAATATGTGTGGACAATAGTTTTAGTCTTAAAGACTTAGTTAACTTAAAGTTAGTTAACTTAAAGACTTGGTTTTAGTCTTTAGGCTTTAAAATTTAATGCAACAGTCTGACATTTTATAATTTTTTTTTAACACCACCATTCCCTCTGAGAACCTTCTTTAGCAGGCTTCTAATTCTGTTCTCCCCATTCTGAAGGAAAAGTCAGCTCACCTCAACTGATCTGTGTCTGTTGGAAGGCAGGAAGGCAAGTCTGAGGTCCTCTGGGTCTCTGGGCTGGAAGACAACATTTATAAGCAAAGCTCCCGGCCAGTTTGCTTGAGCTCACCTCATGGCTCAGACTGCTCCCTAACTACAAGAGCCACGAAGACACCTCATCTGGAAAGTGAGTGGCTGTTACGTGTCTCAAAGACAGACAGCTCAGTCAGTGGTCCAGCCCTGAGGATATGTTGGGAGACCTATTCAAGGACTTTCTCTGCAATTTACAGTTTCAGGGGACACCCAAGAATTGAAACACTAGTTAGGAAATCTTTTCCCTGGTCTACTGCACTTTTGTGACCCTGTACCTGACCTATACCCTTTGGCCACTGGCAACCTTTAACAGGATATCCCGTAGGACTCACCTGTAAACAAATAGTAGTTCTTGCTATATCCCTATATAAAATCCAAATACTGCAGTCAACTTTGCATTTGAGCAATAGTATGTTGTATTAAAATCGGGTACTAGAAATACATTTTATGTCTGGTCTCCATTCAAATCCATTATTTCTGTGAAAAATCTCACTGACTGCCCCTCCCATGTCAGAAAGAAGTAAGTCTCTAAAGACGGAAGGAAAAGATCATCGTTGGGATTCCTTCCTGAAGCCCCATTTTTCCTTTTTCGGGGAAGCATCTCTGTCCACACGCAGAGTTGTGGCTTCCATATCCCCTGCCCCATCTCCTTGTTGGTGGTACCCGCTTGGGGAGCCCTGGAAGTTTCCATTTGTTTCTTTCAGACCCATCCAAAGTAGGCAACTGTTCATGTCAAAACAAGAGTAGAAGAAGCCGCAAAGCCACTGCCTTTATGGTGAAAAGCCATCAGGCCACCAGCACTGACCATTGAGGACTCCTCCCTGAGCAGACAGACTCCCGTCCTGGTGGCCAGAAGACCTAACAACTTCCTGGACCTTGAGAATCTGGATTAAAAGGCAAGAACCTCTCTCTCTCTTCTCTCTCTCTCTCTGAAATACACATAACGAATATGAAACCGTGCCAACAGCGCTGCGTGACTATGGACTGAGACGTCATCTCGTGAACCCAAGAAAAGAAACTGTAGCTAGAACACAGGAAGTGAGCCTAGACCCATGATTGCCCACCTGTGGGTCACAGATCCCTGGGAATGCAGGCGTTCTTGGCGTGGAGCCCCCGAATCCAGGGGCACTGTGAGCACACGGTGTAGATGGGCTGGAGGGGTGTTCTGTAGAAGTGGTCGTGAGCACAGGCCGTTTAGCAAAACCACGTAGTTTCAAATCTTAATTCCTCCACTTAGCAGGTGCGTGCCCAGACGCACGCAGTCACCCAGCTTCCTTTTGTTTTGATTTCCTTGTTCTTTAACCACATAAATTTGGTGGAACTGAAGCAAATTAGTCATGTTGCTGAGTCAGCCCTATACCTTGTCCTCAGGCATGATCAGTGTTTGTCAGGAGCAATCACACCGCAGCGGACAACCACTTGGCTCTCTCATCTTTCACATCCAGTTTCATAGGGACCTTGCCTTGTGCTGGAGAACACTGAGAGGAAAAAGCCAATACGCCGGACCTTCTATCTGCTTTCAATTTTGGAGAAGGGTACAAAGACCCCGAGACCCAATGGGCTGGACCCCCTCCTTTGCCAGCGTGTCCCAAATCATGAAAGCTCCCGTCCAAAGCCTTTCCCTCTGGATCCAGCTGCATAGACAAACCACAGCTTGCAGGTCAGGTAGACCACAGACGGCCCTTTGGGTCTCCTTTCTCCACTGCTACTGTGAGAAGTACAAATTAAGTTTTCCAAGACCCAACAAAAGGTCAGAATTTGGGAATGAGACACTCTATTTAGGATTACCCTGACTGTAAAGCATGTGGAAAGAGGTGAGATGGAGACCAGTCTCCTGGCCTCAGTGAGACACTGTTGACATGGACAGGCGGGATACATGGAACAAACAGCACGCTCCACCCAGAGAGCATGTAAAATTCAGAGGACTTGGTTTTTTGTGCAAGATAAAGGATGTGTGGGACTGCACCGGCACATCAACCCGTTATTCCTGGGTATCGACTCGTTCCTTGGGGTACCCATGGCTGTGTCCTGTGGGGATGATTTCTTCTTCCTGATGTTGATGCTGCCGGTGTTATAGTCGTTTTTGGTTTTGTCTTAAGGGGTGGATGCACAGGGTGCTTCGGTGTGCTTTTTGAGGTTTAATGAACTGCTTTTGTTGAATCGGCGAAATCTCGGCCCTCACCACTGCCAAAACACTACCTCCATTTCAAGGGCAGACACCGAAGCAACAACTTTGGAATGGTGCAGCAAACAGAAATGGTCTCTTTCACCCCATGTGCTCTACCCCCCATGGGACAGGACCTCTGAGTGGGCCCCCCTTGCCTCCCGTTCAAGTAGGAGGCATTTGGACAGTGTGGTCTTAGGAGGAAGCTCTCAGAGAGACCACATGAGTCCCAGGAAGGTGTTTATGTCTGTCATTGTAGGATCACTTTCCTAAGGAAAGTCCCCTAAGTACCCTGGACAAGGTCTCAACCAAGTGGTGAGGTCCAGCTTCTATTCTCTGACATGCCAAGATCTCTTCCAGGATCTTGCTATTGAACCACGGCCTTCCAACAGCATCCCAAAAATGGCATCTGCCCCGCTTCTTTCTCCTGCCCCCACCTCACTGAACAACTTCTTATGTGAATTCTTCCATTATCACACTTTCTCATCATGATAACGGAGATTAGTGAGACCACTTAGGTAAACCAGACTCTATGGTTATCACATGGAAGTAGGTGACCAACTGCCTTCATGCAGTTGAAATGCCTCTATCTCCTTAGAGTCTGTAACAAACACTGGTAATGAAGGAGGGAATGTGTATTCATTAAGCCTCTTCTACATACCAGATGTGTGCGATGCATTTCATGTGTTTATTAACTTCTTATCCCTCCTACTAAAGCCATGACCTCGATGCCATTACTGTCCTATGTCACAGGTCAACCTTAATGACATAAATATGAGGAGTATTTGAATTCAGATCTTTAAATACAAACAACAGGCATTTTTCAAGATAACTTGCTGCTTCCTTTAAAGATCTGCCCCTAAACCATTGAGGGGCCTGAAACCAGTCATCTGGAGCTTCTTACTTATGAATCCTTGTAGCCCCGATTCTCTAATGCCCCCGAGACTGGAAGCTTGAGTTAGGTCTTCCTGCGGGAGAACTCTGTGTTTGGGTCAGTGGGCTTCCTCCCGCAGTCTGTGAGGAAACGCACGGTGACACAGAATGGGGCCTTGCTTACCTCCTCCTGCTCTGTCTACTTCAGATTTTTGGCAAGGACCAAACAGGATAAATACCACCTGTGAAAAAAGCCTCATAAATGGTAATGACTACAGAATTTGTGGTGCTGTCATCTCTGGCATTGTCATCAATACCAAATCCTGGGGGAAGGTGACCAGCTCCGGCCTAGAGCTAAAACACAGAATAATCAAAGTGGTCCTGGGGGTGCTCCGAACTGGTGTAGGTTTAAAGGAGGAAGGGTGGCCATGCCAAAAGATTAGAAATAGCTGAGGAAGGAAATAAATTATAGGATAGACCCAGATCCATATATGTTATGGTCTAACATCCATCGTCCTGAGTTGGGAGCTCCATCAAGACCCAGTGGAAGAGAAGGGGTCTGAGAATGGCCCCAATTTGGCTGCTCCAATAACGGATCTCCAGGGAATAAGATGAAAACATGTAGATCAGTGGGTTGGTGGGCCAGCAGGAAATTAGGTAATAAGAGGGATGGCAGCTCCGGAGAACCACAACTGAATTTCAGCACCCGCTGGCCCGGCACGGGAGGGCACTAGCTGGTGAATGTGAAATTGCCCAATTTGGCACCATTCTGACTATTATTGCCAGAGAAGGCAGACCGAGGCGCAGCTGATGAGTTAACCAGATATGATACAGAAAACATTTCCTTCTCCTTTTTGGCTTCAAGTCTATTTTAAGGCTTCAAGTCTCCAGTCCAATTTGCACTTGGGGGCCGCGGAGGAGATGCCTGTTCCCATGGGAGGCCCTGCCCTGCTGTGGATGGCGTTGCTTCTCTTCTGTAAGTAGACGTTCAGGGACACCACCCCACCCCAGAGGGGCCAAGATGGATCTGGGTGGCAGCTGGGGTAGGAACGTTGACAGTTTTCGTGGTGGCTTGTTCTAGGCTATGTGCAAACCACAGTGCATTTCCTGGGGATTCTGTAAAGGACACAGCTATAGAGCAGGGCAAATTGGGCTGAACAAGACTTAAGGGGGAGCCAACCGCAAAACCTGTCCTTGCCATCTCTCTGACATCTCCCAAAGGGCAAGGGAGGGAGGACAAAGGAAAGAGAAAAGTTCCTTCTCTCTCTGGGTCAGGTTCCTGAGAAGACGCTTGGCCCTTAAAACTCCACAGATGTAGACCTGACCCCTATAACCAGACCCCTGTCCTAGAGTCCCAGAAGGCGGGGTTTGGCCACTAACTTATCTTTTCTGGACTTTTGCAGCTCCACATGGTGTGTCAGCAGGTAAGTGAGTCCCCTGTCCTTGCTCTGTCAGCCCCAACATGGCTGGGCATGGCTCCCCACCTCACTGTTCCCTTCACCCTGTCTCCTCAGCTTTCTAGTGATTAAGCATCTGCTCCTCTCTGTCCAACCCAAGCCCCACTTCCTCGCTGCCTGTCTTCCTTATTTCCCCTGTTTGATGGCTTCAAAAGAACTACCTCATTCCCTTGAGGCACCCACCTCATTGCAGGCAACAACCATGTCTGTGGAACATCTCGACATCTGAGAACTGCCCAGGCACTACCACACAACCTCAGTCAGTCCCTACATCATCATCTTAGTACGGTCGCCATCTTATAGTTGAGGCTTTTGTCCGAGTGAGAGCCTTGCTGGAGGTCTCACAGCTAGCCAAGGGCCAGCTTCTGACACAAGTCCTTTGGGTCCAAGTCTAGCTCTGTTTCTGCACTCTTCCTCCTCACCACCTGCCACTTCCTAGGCTTTGGTTAAATCTGTACCGCATCTCTTTGTTCCTGAAAACCTATTAAGGCTGATTCTCTAAGCGCTTCTCACTTCCTTCCAGAATTGACATGTATTTTTCACTCCATATGCATTCACAGTTAAATAGTCATAAAAATTTAGAACTGGGAGAGACTATGTTTCATCTAGTCCAACACATTTATTCATCCATTATTCACGCATTCATCCACTCAGTAAATATTTAATGAACACATACTATGTACCAGCCACTGTGCTGAGCTAGGGCTGAACAGGACAGACATTGCCTCTGCCTGACCAGAGACTGCAGTCCTCACTGGCTTGTTTGTTTTTTAATACCCCACACTCGCATCCTATCTTTCTCCCTAGGTTGGGAGTTCTCTAGAGCCACAGCACTATTCCCTCCTTCTGTGATCCTAGGAATCAGGACAGTTTCTTATTAGTGGCCATTCAGGGGTAGACAGACCGCTGACTGATGGACTATTGCCATGTATGTACTCTAGAGCCTGGACATTTTTCTCTCCCCAACCCCCTTACATCTCTTTCCACAATTTGATCTCCTCCAAGATATCTCAAAACCTATGGTGTCCTTGAAACCGCCATGGAATAGAATATTGAAATATGACAATGTGACTCTTATATGCTATGAGAACAACTCCCTTGAAGTTAACTCTGCTATGTGGACCCACAACGACAGTCTTCTGGAAAATAAAACTTCACGCTTCACCATTGTGAAAGCCCACCCTCAGGACAGTGGGGAATACAGGTGTCAGGACAAAGAATCCAACATGAGCGATCCTGTGTACCTAGAAGTTTTCTCAGGTAAGTTCCAGCACTATGGAAAAATAGATTCCTCCATGTGAGGAATGGCCGACCCGAAGATGGGGAGAGATCAAGTTATTCCAGGGTTATGCATAGGGGTGGGACTCTAGTCTCTCACTCAAGACCTGCCCATCACTCTTCTTCCTCCACCCTTACTTACTCCAGCCAAGCCTTGCTTCTTTCTATGCTCTGGCTGTCCCCCACCTCCCAGCATTATCCCTTTACTCCACCTCATCTCTCCTCTGCCTGGGGCAGATGTGTATGATACGTGCCAGTGGCGGGTTGGGTGCATGAAGGTTGCAAAGAGCTGAACATCTGAAATAGAATCGAAATGTCTGATTGTGAAATTTGTTCACAATTTCCATGCACCACAACCTGGATATCAGGTTGCACTCTTGGTTTTGAAAGACATCAGGTAGACTCCTCCTGACCTTCATTTTACTGAAGAACAAACCCTACATGTATTTCCACTTTGTGATTCCTCTGCTGCCAACGATCAGCACCACACGCTCAGACTTTATGTGGTTAGTTAGTAAATGCCAGACGGACAAAGGAAGGATTTCACTGAAATGGCGAGGTCATGGATATATTTTGCTTTATTTTTCTAATGCAAATATATTTTAAAGGATAAACACACTTTGTATTTTCCTTTTGAGTGAAAAGTGGTGTGGTAGCATCCGGAGGCAAATCCCAAGTACGAAGTAGAGCAGCGTGCAGTAGCTTACTCATTTCCTCGGACGAGGTTCTGGAAAACTCCAGGGTTGCTCTGAAATAAACTGACTGCACAACCCAGCCAGAATTTAGTTCAAAATTCTCCTCCTTAGTGAGTGTGTTTCAATTCTTTTTTTTTTAAGATTTTATTTATTTTATGACAGAGAGACAGAGAGCACAAGCAGGGGGAGCGGCAGGCAGAGGGAGAGGGAGAAGCAGGCTCCCTGCTGAGCAGAGAGCCCAATGTGAGGCTCAATCCCAGGACCCTGAGATCACGACCTGAGCCAAAAGCAGAGGCTTAACCCACTGAGCCACCCAGGTGCCCCTGAGTGTGTTTCAGTACCTACAATGACATTAGCCAGAGAACCTGACTCTTGTATTATACAGAATCATTGTTAACAAATATTTGCTGAGTAACTACCCACTCTGAGGTAATGGTGTTAGGCATTAGGGATATAATGCAAGGATCAGATATGACCCCTGGCCTCCTGAAGTATGGATCCAGATGAGGAAGAGGACATTAGTGAGTAACTATGCACACATCATTGAAATTGGCAGTCATGTTCTGGGGGAGTTTTGGAGCCAGCTATGATTAATGGTAGAGCTAGGGAGCCTCTAAGAGGCAAGAGGACAAAACAGACCTGCCTCTAGGGGAGGACTCCCTGGACAGGAGAATTTTATTCCTCTTTAGTAACCAGAACTGGCACCGACAGAGCTGAAGGGAGCACTGGCTTTCAGGCTGCCCATGGACAGGCTCTGCAGAAACGTCAGAGTGGTCTGATGGCCCCAGACTCACTTTTCAGGAGGAGAGAGGATTGATCCATATAGAGGACAGATTCTAAGCATTATTTTGTGTTTCCTTTTTTATTGACCTTACGAGCCAAGAAATGGGTTCATGATAAACCATGGTTCCTGCCACATGCTCTGTGAGTGAACACTTTTATGTCGTGTCTCTCCCTGTGTCCATCTATCCATTTTCTCTTACACAACCTAACGAATGGTCTTCAGAGTGGCTGCTCCTTCAAGCCGCTCCCGAGGAGGTGACGGAGGGTGAGTCCTTCCACATCAGGTGCCATAGCTGGAAGAATTTGAAAGTCACCAAGGTGACCTACTACAGGAATGGCAAAGCCCTCAAGTACGGGTATGAAAACTTCGAAATGTCCATCCCCAACACCACAATAATGGATAACGGCAGTTATTACTGCACCGGCTGGATTCAGAGGCAAAATCATACTTCCGACACCATCAACATCATTGTGAAAAAAAGTGAGTTGGTACAGGAAGGGGGGCCCATGGCAGGGGAAGGGAGAGAGAGAGAGACCCTCAGCATGAAACGGCTGAAGTGTCCAGCAGGGGACAGTGGGTGCACCTTGCCGAGTCCGCCAGCCTGCGGGCAGGGGCGAGGCTGTGACACATGCCCAGTCTTGGAGCCCTTATTGGTTTGCTGGCAGCAGTGACACTGGCTCACAATGTGGGGTTTCTATGAAGACTAAATGCAAATATTGGGAAATGGACATGTAGCCTGTTAAACGTTACCCAACCATAACGATCACAATTCCTGGTATGCTCTCAAAGCCCTCTGCTGTTCCTGGGGCGCACAGTTACATTTATCAAACTGAAAGGGAGTCTCCGAATTAAAGGAACGAAGGGTGTGAGGAGCTTGGAGACGCCATGCTGGTGGAGGAGGGTTGGGGAAGGAGACCCACAGCCAGCAGCCTGGGTGCCTGAGTGGGGAGGAGGCAGAGCCTCCTGAGGAGAGCAGGCTGGTGGGCTGCCTCCACCATCAAAGATAAAGATGCTCCTATCTACCTCCAGAGAAGAGATGGAGCCTTTGGAATATCTGCCTTGCAAGGAGGAAATTAGATTTTTTTTTTTTTTGCTTGGAAGATTTGGCTCATTCTAATGCCTAAAAAAGCATGAGACTGGAAGCCAGAATTAAGTTTTAATGCCAATTTTCTGTTAACTAGTCTAAGACCCAAGTGCTATTTAATTGTTGTTGGCCTTCTGATACCCTTATCTGCAAAGTAAAGGATCTGGCCCAAACACCCCATGGGGACCTTTGGACATACTGGTGTCTGCCTCTCACTTCCTGAGATTCTGACTTACTTGGTTTGGAGGACTGGGCATTGGTATTTTTAAAAGCCCTTTCAGGTAACGGTCATGTGCAGCCTGTGCTGAAAGCTATTGGTCTAGGTGACCTCAGGCGGGGAGTGCTCTGGTTATAATATTCTGGGGATCTACGATCTAGGATAATCACAAAAATCAATGCCTTGCAAATAGAATAACAGAGTCACAGGAGAGAGGATTATTTTAAAGAAGCTCTGGTCCAGTGTCTTTGTTTCACCTGACAGGCAGGTGGTAAATGATGAACAATTCAGAAATAAGGGAGTGGCCACCCCACCCAAGCCCTCACTTCTCCTGTCCACTCCCAACTCATATGGGGGCACTGGTACTGTGAGCCCAAATAAAGGGTTCACCTTTCCTATGACCTTCCCCCTCAGACAGACTGGCTAGAAGAGCTGTAGGCAGGGGCTATGAAGGAGATCTCAGGAGTCCCTGGGCTCCAGGAAACATGGACAGAGGTACCTAAATCCATGGGTGTTGCTCTCTGGTCCTAGATGCCATGTCATGCTGGTGCTAGAAGACAAAGCACCATGCTAGGTCCTTTTCTTATGAGGGATGATGTCCTAGGCCTCATTCATCAATTCTTCATATGACTTATGTTTCTTGTTGCATCTAGATTACCTCAACCAGAGTGTTCACCAAAGAAAAACCTCCTGGCTACAATTTCTGATCCCATTGTTGGTGGTGATTCTGTTTGCTGTGGACACAGGACTGTTTATCTTGACCCAGCAGCAGCTGACACTGATCTTGAAGACTCAGAGGACCAGAAAGAGCAAAAAGCCAAACCCTGAAAAGAAATGATGTCCCTGCTTAAGAACCATTAGCAACAGCAACTTCTTTCCAGCATCAGCAATCGCTTCTCCATCATCAAACACAGCTCCCAATGCACACAGGAAGGTCTGCACTCAAGGCTTTACAGAGCTGCTTCATTAAACCAACTCAAACTGATTAAGTGACATGTAATTGTAACTGCTCAATAAATGTCAGTTAAATAAGTTAAAAAATAAGTAGATTCATTTATTAGCATCTGTCAGAGACAAGTACAGCCTGAATAAAGAGGTATGAAACCAGGTAACATGATGCTTCTGAGTATTTGAGGCTTGCTAGTTTCTTTTATTTCTAGAGGCAAAAACCATGACGTTCTAGACTAGAGAAAGACATCTCTAGTCTTTCTCTTAACCACTCTAAATCTGGACTGGGACTACAAAGACATGAGGAGATGCTGGTGAGATTGACCATTTTTATGCTCTCATTTCAACATACCACTCATGAGCTTCTAGCTCCTGCTGGATCTGGGGCAATCTTGATCCCTAGGACTCTGGGGATGGGGCTCAGTCTAAGATTTTCCCTTTGATTGTTTTTCTTCCCAACATCTCCCAAACTTGTATCTTGAATACCGTCTTATAGCAACCGAACTAAGCATCTTGGCGAAACCCCAGCAAATAATTATCACCAAGACTCTCAGCTCTGAAAACAGAAAGATCTCAGGCAAAGACCCAGTCTTCATTCTCCCATCCCCACCTCACCTATGCCCATGGAGACAGTTGGATGGGAGCCTGGGGAAAGGGTTAGGGAAGAGAGGCAACCTATTGTCAGTGCTGACCATGAGTTCACAAGCCAACGAAATCTCAGAGTATCCATAGCTTCACTATGTTTTAGAACAATTACTAACATAAAGAGGAAGTGAATCTAGGGGGAAATTTGTAAATACCCATGAGACTGAGAAGTCCTATTTTTTTCCAAAGGGGTTTTTGGACCACAAAGCAGAGAGAAATAGTGGAGCTTTTTTTTTTTTTTCCCTTTCTTAATATAGGTATCTGGTATGTATCTCCTTAACATTCTACTCACTCCCACCCCAACCATTTCAGAGAGGTAAGAAATGACCAGATTCCCAGTGAAAAGCTGTGTCACTCGACTTCACAGACTTCATGCCTGGTGAGCAGAGAAAAGATTTTTCTTGCAACAAGAGGCCAGGAAAAGTCCCCACAGAAGGCTCCTTGGTGGTGTTCTGGACACTTCCCCTGACTTTAAGGGAAGATGGGAGATCCATGAGACCTCGAGACCATGGTCTTGCCGCCACCTTCACTAACAACATTTTGCTTCACAGCGTCCTAGACACGGCATCATACACATCAGACCAGAGAGCAAGTGACTTACTCCTTTGTTGGGTCTGAGCCCAAATGATCCAGAGTGAAGAGTTAAGAGGTATTTAACATGGATAGAAAGTCTAAGCTTGGGGCACCTGGGTGGCTCCATGGGTTAAGCCTCTGTCTTCAGCTCAGGTCATGGTCTCAGGGTCCTGGGATCGAGCCCCACATCAGGCTCTCTGCTCAGCAAGGAGCCTGCTTCACTCTCTCTCTCTCTCTGCCTGCTGCTCTGCCTACTTGTGACCTCTCTCTCTGTGTGTCAAATAAATATATAAATAAGATCTTTTAAAAAAGAAAGAAAGAAAAAAAGAAAGCCCAGACTTGATCAGCTTGAGCTACAACTTCTGAGGGGTTTTCTAGGTTCTGGAGTATCACAGTTCGCCTCCACTGCCCCTTTCTCCTCATCCAAGCTTGCAAGGGCTCTGCAGAGAGCACGAACCTGGATTTTCAGGCCACTGTGAACTAGCTGTGTGACTGGAGAAAGTCACTTGCCAGTGTCTGAGATTCCATTTCTTTGTGAAAAAGAGGGTTTTGGACTAGGCGGACTCTAAGCTTCCTTGAACCCAGACGTCCTATCCTCGGTGGAGCCTACTTTCCATACGGTGACCACACAGGCTCACAGGCTCAGAATGCATCCCCAAGAAGCTCTGGTGTGAATTCTCCTTTCGTCCTCCACATATCGCCTTTGCCGTGCTCTTCCGTGATCTGAATCTCAGGTTTGTGGGAGACTTCTCTCTACCATTCATTTCTTCCTGTTTTCTTCCTTTCCATACATCACTTGTTCATATGGAATGTGGAACAGAATCGGGGCTTAAAAATTTTGTGGAGCTCTAAAATATGACATTTAAAAAGATGTGTTTTCATTTTTATATATATAGAATACCTTGTCTATGCCAGAGAGGGAGTACGTATGTCATACCGGTGATTGAAGTAGAGATAACCCACCCCCGCGTCACTCTTGGGCCTCCTCTGCTGCCCCGTCTCTCACCACATTGGTCTGGTCCAGCTCACAGGGCAAATTTTCTCTTCCACAGCTGCTGTTCCAAAATGGCTGCCACAAAATCATCGTGAATTCCCAATAATAGAGACTATATTCTTTTGAAAATCAACTCAGTTAACTCCCTACTTGTGGCCAGGGAAAGACAAATTCCCTTGGTCACCTTGAACTCAGACAAAAGATCCACCTTGTCAGTATGTCGGGGAATTGAGTGCTTAGAGAAAGGCTTTGCTCTTTCTTTCTTCTCATGAAACGGGAAGTGGGACAATAGGGTCATCTCCCCAACCCCAGAGATGGGAGCTTTATGTTGAGAATTCCAGAGACACCTGCCAGGCTGGGTCGCTAGATAACCTCACAGAGTGGTCCTGTCTTCCTGCCTTAAGTTGTCTGCCCAGCTCTGGACAGTTCCTCACCGAGCTCAAGTTGCTTCATCAACGCCCAGAGCAATCCAGTTCCCACCCCAAACCTTTACCTACGACGGTGCCCAGGATCGCTATCAAGTTAGTTTGTGCACATCACTTGTAGCACTCACACTCTTTCCCTTCCTGAAAATTGGAATAACACATCCTCACATTTAGCCTTTCCTGTATTTGAAATTTTAAAAATATCACCAAGAGTGGTCAGCAATCTCCCTGCAAGGTAATTGAATGGAAATCCAGGGCTGCAATGCAACTGAAAATTGCTTGCAGAAAAAACTCTGAAGATAAAGGAATGACTTCTTGTGGATTTTGAGAGAAGTTCCAACTGTTTTTTTCCCCCTCAGATTCCAAGAGGATAATACTGTACTACTATACCAACTAAATTGAGCCCCAGAAAATATACTTCAATTAATAGGGTGATCTTTTTTAAAAATTTAAATATAGGAGCCACTGGCCTTCAGCCCTCACTAGAATATATCAGGGTGAAAAATCTTGGTCCTCTGCTTGCCAAGTGGAGTTCTAGAAATGGGATCCTAAAACTCTGCAGATTAGGATCCTCAGAAACAGACTCTAAGATTGAAATGTGACAGGTTTCTCAGGGAGTGCCCTCAGTACCAACACCTGTGTGAGAGGGAAGGCAGTGGACCCCCACAGAGGAGAAGCTGAAGTGTGACTTCGTCACAGCAAACCTCACACCGTCTCACAGACAAGAGCCCTGGAGCTGGGACGGCCCCTTGTAATCCTCTTAGAAGGAGGTCCGGGGGCCAGTCTTTACAGCCTGAGGTAGGCAAGTCTTTGGAGGCAGGGTGCCCTGGGGAGATGTGTGACTCTGGAGAAAGTACCTGTTCAGCGAGAACAATTTCCAAAGAGCCACTCGACTGACTGCTGCTGGCCCAACACCCTCCCGGCAGCCTGCGGGAGTGAATGCGTGGGTCCCGAAGGTGTGTCATCTGGGGAGGGTTGCACGGCACCCACTGAGTACAGCTGTGCTAGAAGAGAGTGAGGCCCCTGGACATCAGACTCTACCTCATGGCTTTTTATCTGGATAAAGAAGAATCACTAAGCCCAGAAATGTTTATAATTTCGACTATTCTCACAGCAATGCACGGGTTATTTCTAGAAATCCGGACATGAAAGCAAAGGTATCTTGGCCTCGGGTTACCTTCACATGCTCATGTTTTTGAAAAGTCAGCCATATTAACTGGGTTCAGAGAATTTGTTAATTTCCACTACCTTGTCCCATCCCCCGCAACGGGCAGACCTCAGGACACTCTCACAAGTGCTATCTTGCCTCTGCAGGGTCACCCCGTGGGGTCAACTGAGTTGCGGGGACATGGGAGCTGTGTCTGGAACTGAGAGTACGTATGCTCATTCCTCAGTGCAGAGGCCAGAGTAGAGCCGAAGATGAGGGAAAAAGGACCCACCAGAGCACACGTGTTCACCTTCTGTGACGCTCAGACAGGAATGCTGTTTTAAAGTCCATTTTTAAGTTGGGAGTATCTCAGAAGAAACTTCGGAAGATTAACCTCTGCAGAGTTAGGAGCTTACCAGAAAGTTTTTTATTTAAGTCAAGCTTCAGACTTCTGCTCATTAATAAGTGTTTTCAGGAGTTGTAGTTAAAGTGCTTACACTTCTAACACCCTATCAAACAGTTTAGGTCTACTCTGTGAAAGAACTATGCTTTTCTTGGCTCCTTCCAACCTCTGTGCTTCTTACTCCTGGGTTGAAAAGATGGAAGGTGTTGAACTTTTCAACATGTCCCCTTTACATCTGGTGTTTTCTCACCTAGCCATCTTCTGGCTGTGGACAACCCGCTTCGGTGCTCTCGGGAGCTGATGACTTTGTGCTTCCCCCACATGTGCATCCCGCATTCCCAGGAATGGCCAGGTAGGGCAGTTCCACCACTCGGAACGGCCTCCACCACTTCAGCCTCCTGAAGATTGCTCAGGCTGTTCTGAGATATCAGTATTAGTAAAAACAGATTACAAGAAAGTCCTCAATGTTCACAGAAAAGAATACACATAGGTCTCCTCACTTGTTAAAAAGTTTGCACAAACTACTCCTACATCCCCACCAACAGTGAAAATCTTTCGGAGGTGGCTTCCAAATATTTTGTTCATGGGCTTTCTAGACGGGGCTGATTTTATGTCTCGATGGAGTTGTGTATCTGTGCGCACTCATGTGTGATAGGACACAGGTGGAAGTGACCTAGGCAGGTAAATCGTTCCCCTCTAGTCTTGAGCATTTGCCAAGCCATTTTTTTAAAAGGTTTATTCATTTATTTATTTTTCAGAGAGAGAGAGAGAATGAGTGTGGGGAGGGGTAAGGGGTAAAGGGAGAGGGCCAGGCAGACTCCTGCTGAGTGCAGAGCTGGATGTGGGACTCAATCCCAGGACTCTGGGATCATGACCTGAGCTGAAGGCAGAGGCTTAACAAACTGAGCCATGCAGGCGCCCCAACGATCTATCTATCTGTGTCAGGCCACTTTTTATCCTCTCTGAAGAAGGGTATAGGAAACCATGACAAACTCAAACGGAAGCCCACAGTTTTGGTCCTCTTACTTTAGTCTGTTCTTCTTGATCTCATACTTAAAAGCATTATTGAAACAGCATTAAAATCAACATACATTTCCAAAATCAAATGAAAGGTTTTTAACAATCTTGTCTTGCTACGAGGAAAGGGGCCTCCGCCCCATAGCTCTGTGCAGAGCATCCTTGACCTCCTTGTTCCTCAGGCTGTACACAACAGGGTTCAACAGGGGAGTGATGACCGTGTAGGTCACAGAGATGAGTCTGCCCTGCCCCAGGGAACTCTGGGACTTGGGCTTGAGGTATATGATGGAGGCGCAGCCATAGTGGACCATAACCACCGTGAGGTGGGAGGCGCAGGTGGCGAAGGCCTTCTTTCGGCCCTCGGCTGAAGCGATCTTGAGGATGGCGGAGATGATGAGGACGTAGGAGATGAAGACCAGGCCCATGGGTAGAACCAGGACACAGATGCTGACAACAAAGTTGATGATCTCGTTGACAGTGGTGTCCGTGCAGGCCAGCTTCAGCAGGGGCCTCACGTCACAGAAGAAGTGAGAAATGACAAAGGCGTCACAGAAGGGCAGACCAAACACAGATGTTACCTGAACAATGGCCATGCCCAGACCAATTCCCAGTGATCCGGATGCTAACTGGACACAGACCTCTTTACTCATGATGACCGAGTACCGTAGGGGGTTGCAGATGGCCACGTAGCGGTCGTAGCCCATGGCCGTGAGCAGGAAACAGTTGTTGATGCCGAAGGTGAGATAGAAGAAGAGTTGAATGGCACATTCTTGGACAGCAATGGGCTGTTGGGGGCTCAGGAGGCCAGAAAGCATACGGGGAATGATGGCCACAGTGTAGCAGGTCTCAGAGAGGGATAGCATGCTCAGGAAGAAGTACATGGGGGTGTGGAGGTGACGGTCCAGGCGAATAATAGTCACGATGACAACATTGCCAGAGAGAGTCAGCAGGTACAGAGTTAGAAAGACAACAAAGAACACAAGCCTGTGATGCCACCCAAAGCTGGAGAACCCTTCCAAGAGGAACTGGGTCACAGCAGTGGAGTTTGGCATTGACACTGAGAGAGGTCTAGGTCTGAGCAAAGGAGAGGTGTGATGAGCCAACCACAAAAGAGAGTAGGCTAACCCAAGGCCTTCAGTAAAAAGTGTGTCCATCAGCTGAGCAATGCCGTGGACTTCAAGAGTCATCAGTATCTGCTGCTGTCATCACCTTTGCCCACCCTCTTCTTCGGCTCTACAGAAGTGTTACCCCAGGACCCTGAGACTGATGGCAGAGAGAGATCTGGGAGGAACAGTAGAGACAGAGTAAAGGAAAGATGAGTAGAAGTAATTATCCAGACACTGGCGAGGTGAGTCCAGGTCAAGGAAGAAGCTCAGCACTGCAGTTCCTCCTCAAATGCTCTTGAATTAGCTGGGAAGGTCTGGTGCAGAATAGTAAGTAGAGTGGAAGATAGAAGAGAGCTGAGGCTGACAGCCTTCTGACACTGGTCAGAGTGCACTGTCACCGCCCAGTGCTCCATCCCCAGCCTGCAAGGATTTCTGCTCCCCCAGAACCCTACCTATGTCCTAGGCTTCACTTCCCTAAGCCCTGAACCAAAAAATCCCCAGTGATCAAGAAAGACTAGAAATGGGAGCATTTCAATAAAAAGTTCCTCCTGAAAACCCCACACCAAGTATCCTCCAGAGCCATGGACAATGGTTTGATAAGGCCCGGCAGGTATGCAGCTAAACTCCTTGAATTCGAGCAGAAAACAGAATGGAACAAATCCAAGGATGTCCCTTCAAGTAGGGAATGGGTTTTCCTAGTGTGAGAGCAAAGAGAAATTCACCTAATTGGAGAAGACCAGGTCTACTTTTTCCTTCAACTTTGCACATTCCAAGTTGAGATAGGAATAGAAAGGAACTCTTCTCATGTGAGCTCAGAATTGGAGACTACAGTGGCAGGTTTAGCCTTGCCCTTTAAACCCATATCTACTCCTGGTAGAACATACCATGCTTAACCGTCATCTCCAACCAGATAGCTAAGAATCATCCTTTTCCATCCAGAAAACATCCTGAAATTCTGTCATCTCTGTCCTCTCCTCCCTGTGCTTTCCACCAACACCTAACTTCTGAGCACACACAATCATTCTCTGCAGGGTCTGCAATGGTCTCCCAGTCAAGCTCTGTCATTGCAGTGACCTTGGTCCAAGTCCAAGCCTGCCTCCTGAATGTTGTCATAACATTCTTTAAAAAAAAAAAAAAAAGAAAGAAGTCTGCTAATGGGATTCACCTGAAGAATACGAAAACGCAAACTCAAAAAGATTTACGCACCCTTATGTGTACAGCAGCATTATTTACAATGGCCCAATTATGCCAGCAGCCCCAGGGTCCATCAGTAGATGAACAGATAAAGATGAGGCATAGACACACAATGGAACATTACTCATCCACAAAGGAGGATGGAAGCCTGCCATCTGCAAGAACGTGGACGGACCAGAGGGTCTAATGCTCAGCGAAGTAAGTCAGAGAAAGACAAATGCCATCCCATCTCACTTACGCAAAGGACTTAAGAAACGAATACAACAAAGAAAAAGAAAGAGAAAACCCCAAACCGACTCTTTATTATAGAGAACAAACTGATGGTTACCAGAGGGGAGGTGGCTTGGGAAGGGGTAAACGGGCGAAGGAGATTAACTGTATAATTATGGTGATGAGCCCGGAGTAGTGTATGGGAGTGCTGAATCCTCTATATCACACACCTGGAATTAACGCAATGCTGTATGTTAACTCCACTGGAATGAAGATAAAAATTTTAAAAATCTGATTATGGGGCTTGCCTGCATAAATTCCTTCAGTAGCCACCTGAAATTTGAAGCATGATATTTAAAATCATTTGTAAATTGATTATAGTAATACCTCTTTGGAGTCACTGTATTAGAGGGTTAATGTACTTGAAGAGTTTGACACAACACTGGGTATGGGGAGGGGAGTTCAGCCCAGACTCGAAGGATTTTTAAACAAGCCTTTGATCACATCCAGCCTTGATTTATAATTTTCATCATTTCCCTTCCAATTGCTTATATGGACTTTTTTATGTGCTTTAAAAATCTTTCTTGAAGGGCAGTGGCCAGATCTGTGTATTGTTCTACATACTATCCCAGCAGAGGTATGGGTCTGGTAGAACAAGATTTTTAGTTTTGCTTTTAATCCAACTCTTAAAGATGCCCAACATTTTCTTAGATCACAGTAGCCCATCCAGTTGATACATCTAGGAAAAATCTGTAGTGACATCCAGATCGCGTATGCATGTTATAATGGATAGTTTGGAACCCATCGCTCAAAACCACTGTTTTCATTATACTTGCGCACTTACATTGAAATTCATCCAGATTATTCTTGTAACTTAAATTCACTTTCCTGGCAAAAGATTTTACTCGTGCCTATAGCCTAGAATATTTCTTTTCCTTTCCTCCTCCAGACCGTTAGTCAGCTCTAAATTAGCAGCACCTGAAACAGCTCTATCCCAGCACTGTTATGTGGGTAGACTCAGCAGAACAACCAGTAAAGTCACACAGAGTGGGACGGGGGAGATGAGAAACACGGGCACGAGCAGGCTTACTCATCCAGGGTGTAAGAAATGGAGATGAAGGAGGAGAGAGACTAAAAGGGAGGGAGGGTACAGACGGACAGCAACCTCAAAATTCAGACCATATCTTCGGCATTGAGATTATTACTGTTTCTTCCTTTCAAATAAATGATCAAAAAAAGTGAAACAAGGCCTGTCCCCGACCCAATCTTGGATGAATATACTACTCACATTTTTTTCTCCAGGGAAAACTTACTTATCTCATTGATCTCTGATTTTTTTTTTCTACATCTACTGTGAATAATAAAATTTTGCTTCAAATCCAAACAAAACCTCTTCTCCCGGAGTTCACTGAGTTGAGTACATCATGAACTGTGAGTGCCGCGCTGGTATCAGGAACACAAAGAAACCAAGCAACAGTCCTTGCCCTCACGGAGCTTGGACGCAGTTGAAGGTCCCTCAAGTCTTACGTCCCTCCTCCCTCCATTAGCTCACATACACACACATCCAATGTGATAAACATCACAAGGCTCGGTATGAGAGATCCTCTTCCCCCTTCTGAAGACCATCGTTGGCACGGACGACTCCACTACAGTCGACAGGCTCCATCCCAGCACATAAGGAAGTGAAACTCACCAGCAGTCGTCTCCTCGCTCTTCGAAGAGTCACTGCCCTCCACGTGGGAAATCTGCCAGCAATCACAGATACTTTTTTTTTAAACTAATAGTTATGACGCATTTCCCAGTTTTTGTCAATACCTTTCCTGCAATTATTTAAAATCCATCAGTTACCTGAGTTTAGATCACTGTAAAATATTGCTATCCTACTAAAAGCCTACACGTTTTCTTATCTGAGGGTTGCTGACATCTTACTAAGCCGAGCTGTGGTTTACAAGAACTCCTCCTTCACTGGCTAATCTTGAGATAACACCCAGATTGTGATACCAAAACGAAACTAGAAAGGAAGGAAACAATGCATCACCCCATCTTCTAGCGCCTGAGCCTGCAAGTGAGGGGCAGAACAAGTCCCATTAAACTCCTCTAGACTCTCACAGCCTCCTCTGACACAAGCTCCTCTTTGGGTCACAAAGCAGTAACTCCAGCTTGAGCTTTCTTAACAAGGTGCAGCTTCCTTGTCCCAGAATCCTGGGTCTCCACCCCCCACAACAGCACCAAGTCCTCCCAAGTGACCCATAGCAGAGGGCACAATCCAAACAGCACAGTGTCTAGAGACCTCATTACTCAGGAAGCTCATTTCCTAATCCTGGGATTAATGTTTTGAGAGAGAGAGTTGGCTTGGCTCTTAGGAAAAATCTCTGGGGTGAAAAGGCTGATTTCAAAATGTATTAGTTCGGGCCATGGTCCTGCTAAGTTATGTGTCATACTTCTCTGGTGCCGAAGGAGAGAAGCTTAAGACCTTATGGAAATGACTCTTTACATATGGTGCAAGGGAAGCGGCAACAGTCAGGCAGGATGTAAGCGTGGACCCCTGCGGCCGGGTGCACAGAGGGCTGAGCCTTCAACTAGCCTGCTTCAAGCCAGTTGAAAGTCCCCGGGTCCCATCAGCAATCCAGTCTCTGACTTCTGTTGTAAGAACTTAAAACTTTTAAAAGAGGTTTTATTTAAATCCCAGCGAGTGAATGCACAGTGTTAACATGAGTTTCAGGTGCACAATACAGTGATTCAACACTTCCTACAATACCTGGTGCTCATCCTAAGTGCATGCCTTCCTCCCCGTCCCGTTTCACCCCCCCGCCCACGACCATCAGTTTGTCTCTATGGTTAAGAATCTGTTTCTTGGTGAGCCTCTCTCTTTTTACCCCCTTTGCTTGTTGGTTTTCTTTCTTAAATTCCACAGATCAGTGAAATCGTATGGTGTTTCTCTTTCTCACTTTTATACCTTTTTTTTTAAATTGAAGTATAGTTCACATGTGATGCTACACTAGCTTCAGGTGTGCTATGTAACGGTGCGCTATGCTGTGCTCACCACGAGGGCAGCCACCATCTGTCAGCATGCAACACCAGTACAAGATCACGGACTGTGTCCTCTCTACTGTAGCTCTCCTCTCCGTGACTTACTCTACTCTTAACCACTCTGTCTCGTCTCTCCTCCGATCGCCTCACACCTCGCATCATTCTGAAGCCCCTGGCCAGGCCATCTTCCAGAGAACACATCCATCTAATTCCCCGCAGCCCAGACAAATGTAGCTTTGAGCTAGGTGAAAGTTGGCACTCAGCTACCACATATTTTAAACTCTTTCGTCATATTCACTGCATTGATCCTACATTCCTATAACTCACCTTTGGAGACTCTCATTCACCTCCTCTCGTGGGGTACTTACAGCTCTTACTAACCAAAGTAATTGCTAGCATTTCTGATACACACTTCTTATGCTAGGTACTAAACTATGCAGTGTACATGTTAATTCACTGAAGACTAACGATAAATCTATGGGGTGGCATTACCATATGCATCTTCGGAAGAGAAAACAGGCACAGAGATGTTATGGAGCTTTCTCTAGGACACAGAGCTGACAAAGGAGAAACCACGACTTAAGCTGGAAATCCGGCTTCAGAAGAAATCCTAGCACAAGTCTGGACACAGAATTAGTTCTCCATAACCGTTGGTTGGATGGAATGTAACTGAAATTGTGCTCAGTGGTGGTACTGCCGGGGACATGGAGCCAGGGAGGCAGCGTGGAGATGGTGGAAAAGCAGCAGACCAGTGTTTGTTTACCACGTCCAGTGGCCACATCTGCCACTAATCTGGTTGGCATTTGGATGGATACATCTCTTCTCTGGTCCTCCTCCTTCTGTGAGTGAGGATGTCACGAAGTGACAATGGTGAGAACAGGTGAGGACAGGGATGCCGCGCCAGATGCTGCCTTCCCTCTGCGTCCTTCCCGCGGCTCCGAATAATGCACGGGTACATGATGCCGTAGACGTGTACTGAGTATCAATCACTATCCGCGTTTCACAAATGAAGACTCTCAGGTTAAACAAGAGAAGTGCAGTGAGTGGGGCTTTCCAGGGTTCGCCCACCCCGGCTCCTCTTCACACGCGAGGACAATCAAAAGGACGGAATTCTCGCTCTTCCGTCTCTGCAGTGGTGTTAGAATGACTCTAAGAGGTGGCGTAGCTTCCACATCAGTGAATGATTGAGGAGCCAAGACTCCATGAAGAAAGCACATGTAGAAATGTTAGCCTAACACCCATGGTTTGCAGCTTCTTCAAGGAACTGCCATTTCTTGTTTACGGGCTTTGATCAAAGCACTGAAACAAGATGAGCAGAGGCTCTGACTTTAGGGCTACCCTCTAGGTGAGAGGGTAGAGTGGAAATGAACCCTCACAACGACTGAAACCAGCTTCAATCTCACTCAACCCCTACTTACCAATCGCTCTCCCCGCTAGTCTAAGTATCTGCTAGGAAGTAAAACAGAAGATCATACAATGCAGAGACTCAGCTTAGCTTTACAACTTTTTCACATGGAGCACTAAGCAAACCACGGAGCCCACCACTGGTTTTCTCATAGCCTACAAGCTGTTATGATGGCCTTTACATTTTTGTAATGATTTTAAAAAGTTTAAAAAGGAAACCATTTTGTCACATGAAAATTGTATGAAATTCAAATTTCAGTCACCATAATCAAAGGCATTTTTTTTCTTTTTTTTAACCATGGCCTCACTCATCCACTTATGTACTACCTCTGGCTGCTTCTGGGCTACCATTCAATGGCAGCATTTAATAGATGCGACAAAGACATTTGGCCCACAAATCCTGAATTATTTACTATCTGGCCCCCTTCAGGAAAAGTTTGAGGACTTCTGGTGTAAAGTGTCCAGGATGCAATAAAAATGCATGAACCATACCAGGACAAAACACCAAAGGGCTAAGAATCAAGAAGGGAGAAAAAAACCACTCAACAGAAATAGACTCATAAAAAAGTCACTGTGTTAAAGTTATAGATACAACTCTGAGATAAACAGATTGTGGGAGACATGTCCTAAGGCGACCCACCATCAGTTACATCCACGGATAATCCTCTGCTCGGGAGCATGGGCAGAGCTGTGACTTGCCCCTCTGCAACAGAGTACAGCACAGGTGAAGGGATGTCACTCCCATGCTCACATTACATCCTATAAAAATCTGTCTTAGCAGACAGGAGCAAGAGACCCTCTCTTGCGGACTCTAGAGAAGTAAGCTGCCAAGTTTTAGGAGGACTTCCAGGAGGTCATGTGGCACTGGAGGAAGACAGCAAACTCAGCAGACAGCCAGTGAGAAAACACAGACTACATCCTAGAACCACAAGGAATCAAACTGCCAACAACCACATGAGGTTGGAAAAGAATACCAAGGTCCAGAAGAGAATACGGCCCAGCTAACACTTTGATTTCCAGTTTGTGAGACACTGAGTAGAGGACCCAGTCAAACTATCACCAGAACACCTGACCTGTGGGAACCATGATATGATACACGTGGGTTGTTTTAAGCTATTTCATTCGTGCCTATTTGAGAAATAATGAGAAAATGAATGTAAGTATGTCACATGTAAAAAATCGTGATGTGTTGTGAAGCAATAAAAAACTAATTTTTATTGTGTTGAAGAAAATAGGTGACAGATTGTAGGACCACACAGAGAACTGGAAAATACTTTTTTTAATAAAGTGAAAACATCCGAAATTTAAAAATATAATAACTGAAACTAAGAACTTAATAGACTAGTTGAAGAAGCACACTAGAAAAAAAGTAGAGATAAAAATCAGTGAATGAGAAGTCTGTCAGTAGAAGATACCCAAGCTGGAGCACAGAGAGGGGGAACATGCAGTGTATATCAAAGAGGGAAAGAACCAAACAGAACCCCAGAAAAGGTCCAGCATGGGTGTCACTGGAGTCTCAGGTGGACAGGAAAGATAGAATGTGTCAGAAGCAAGAGATGAAGAAACGGCCACAAGCTTTCCAAACCTGAGGAAAGCATCACATACAGATTCACCCTGAACTGCATGTAAGATATCTACACACACCTCCCCACCCCAACAAAATCGGTGTAGACAGGTTGTGTAAGATGGCTGAAAGATAAAGATTAAAAGAAAAAGCCTTAGAAGGAACTAGAAGGAAAAAAATACATTATTTTCAAGGAGTAACAGTAAGACTATGAACTGGCTTCTTAACAGCAATAATGAGAAACAAGTCAATGGGATGCCATCTTCAAAGTGCTGAAAGGGAGTGAGTGCCACATGAGAAGTCTGCACTCCAGGGAAATGCCCTCCATGGAGGAAAAACAAGCAAAACAAAAACAGCTTCAGAAATGGAAAAAAATGAGGGACTTCCTCATCAGCAGACTTCCATTAAAGAAATGCAGAGTTCTTCAGATAGAAGGAAAATCCAGCCCAGATGCAAACCAAATGAAAAACAACCAAAATAAATTTTAAAATAACAGAGAAGATAAGTGTCTGGGCAATTATCAATTAATACGATGCTTAATATTATCCATAAAATTCATGTCTTATGGATATCTAAATATTGTAGAGTTAAACCATACAATAACATTAGAATGGGGGTAAATCAAATACAGGTTCCACAAAATCTTTGCTCGGTCCTTGAAATATAATCTCCAAAATAACCATTAAAATGATATAGAAGTGACAAACAAAAGGA